AGCAATCTCAAAATTTTTTTAAATAATTAAAAGTTCAAAATAATAGTCGTAAAGCAAATTACTTTTCCGTCCTTATTGTATACTTATTTGAGAATAATTGTTAAACAATAAAGGTTTATAAATCGCATTTTGTAAAGCGCAATTTATTATTTATAAATCTTAAAGCAAAAATTTCATGTAAAACGAACAAACATTTTAATCCGCACTTCACCAGACGTGTAAATAGCACTCGGAAGTGATAATTCAATAATCACAATTTTATTTTTCTAGGCAAATATCATCGGGATATGGATTCCGAAATAAGAGTCGGGTTTACATCATTCTATACAGGACCTTCTAATGTTTCAATGATTGCGTTTATACTTTGGAGTCTGCAACAGCGTCAGTAAGAGTAATAATACTGGTGAATTGTTATGGCGCACTTTTAAGCAGACTTTATCCCGCCTAAAGAGTGAATATCTTCTAATGAATATTTTCGCATTTTCTAAGTACGTATACTACAATATATTATATTCGAAATCTACAATTTTTCATAATTGTATCTTGCAATATATCGATGCACTTTGACATGTATTCGAGATGTAATGGTGCTATAGTTGCACGTGTTGGATAATTTTTACAATTTTTTATACCTTTCCGATATTTTTTTTTTTGATTATATTCGATAAACGATTACTATTCGTACACTTTTGTTCGCGGCAATGATTCTCCTTACATTACTAGAATAATATATTGACTTACTAATTGTAGAATAATTATTTCTGGATTCCTGAATAAATGTGCGGATAAAAATTCCTTATTTTTTTTATATATATATATCATCTAATATATATATAGTACATTTTACTATATATAGTGCAATTGAAAAAGGATTCGTTTACTACAGGACAATGCTGCTATTTGTGACTAAATACATTTCAGGTATATTTTCAGAAATCACTTTCCACTCACTAATCACTCCCTATTGACGCAGGCATAAAAACAAGGGACAAATGGTCTTCGCAAAATTCACAGAATACAAAGCAATGGAAAGTATACAAGCGAGAGATTGAAAGCACTTTTCTCACACATATTTTTACAAAGTAATAATGCAATTAAATAACTCTATTTAGCACTATATGTACAGAGTGATCTACTAAAAACAGAACACCTGAATAAGTTTTCTAAATTTGCAGACGGCAGAAACTAGTAGAGCACATTTTAAATAATACTAAAGCGTTAAAGATTTTTTTTTATAGAATACAATGTAAAAGATTTTTATCAAAACCTTTTTTATTACAAAGTAACTTTACATATAATAGAATACCAGTGAAAAAAATAAAAGAGAAAAATATTGTTTCAGTTGAAAAAAAAAATTGCTTTAAAAATGGTTTGTTCCTTTTTCTGTATATTCACAAATCTAGAAACATTTAGATGTGTTTGCAGTGGATCATCCCGTATCATGAAGACTATTCTTACAAGTATATAAAATAAATAAACTTGAAAATATAATAACATGATTATTATCAGAGTAAAAGGAATGGCTATTAAGTCAAATGCCGAGTTTACAATAGCCGGCTTAGTTAAATAATAAAACATATAGAAGTCAAACACTTTTTACACAACAATATTCAAAAATTATCGTCATCTAAATCAAGTATGTGTCTGTTTTATAATCGTTCTTAACGATGTAAAATTAAAATAACGCGAATCGGATAAATACCTAAAAAAAAATATATTCAACCGCGAAAGCCCAGAAGTGCTTTAAGATCGCAAATATTAATGACTAATTATAATATTATAAACTAGATCATAAGTTGCCCATCGCAAATCTTTGATTCTAACGTTTCTCGATACCGTCAGCACTAATGCGTTTGCGATTTCGTATATTTCAGCTACAAATACTTTTCTCTACTTAACGGCCATTGCACGCTCGATCGGAAAAGTATATAACTCGAAAATAACTGGGTATTTCGTTAAAGGATCAGTCGTGAATCAACTTGAACAAATAACATAAAACTTGCTGTAGTCGCGTAATGAATGAATAATGGGAAATTAAAAGTACGTGAAAGAGATTCGAAAAGTTGTGCAGGCTGCATTAGATGGAAATTAAACGCCGAAAGATGCAACGCCTGTTTAAATTCGATATTTTGTCTATATTCCTATACAAGTAAGATGGAAAAGATCTAAGTTAAAGATTCAATCGAAAATCAGATGCCTCCAGGGGGTGGATCGGGGGGTGGAGGCAAAGGGGCTGGTTACGGACGGCAATGGCCTCTCTTTCTACCACCTTCGTTACCGTCCTCGTCCTCGCCGCCCCTTCGTACCTCCGTATATCGTTCACCCTTCACACTCACGATCTTATTGTCGAGATAACGTACCAGCTTCTTCGGCTCAGTCTTCGGCGCGACTGGACGATGCTCGCGGCAATCGTCGTCCCTGTCGACGTAACTGTATCGCGCTATGATACGAGACTTCAACTCTTCGTCGTTCAGCCTTGCTTTGGTACGACCGTTGGGCTGGAAACGATCAGGACAGCGTAACCGTACTGATACTCGATACACCAATGAGGTAAAAAATCGTCAAGCATTATTGCTGAGCATTCGAGTGAAAAAAGCTACTTTTACAGTACTTCTTCCGAGAAAGAACTTTTCTTTGCTAATACTATTTCATTTTTACGTTGCAGGAATAATTGAATGCTATTGTATTAAGAACAAAGTCAGATGAGAAATGAACTGTGAAACTTCTTACCGTTAGGAACGTGAGGTTGCTCACGATACTCTGACCTGCTTCTTGGCGATGTAACGCGAGTTGCGCGGCTTTCCCTATGTCACCCCCAGCTACTGCTAAGCAGTGCCTAGCTTCAGCGGGGCTCGCCGCCGGGAACATTTCTTGCAACAGAGCCACCTGATGCCAGGAGGATTCCTGGAATGACACGAGGAAAAAGAATTGTAGATATCCGAAAGCACTCCAAGTGCCTTGTGCCTGCATCTCTTACTTCCGAAAAGTATTCCCCGCTGGAATCGCTGCCGGCATCGCTCGTTTCCGAGAGATGATGAACCCGCATTCTCTGTGCACCAGCTGGCAGCAGAGCGGTCAAGCTGATTTGGTTCAACGGATCACTGTGCGCCTGGCAATTCTCATTTTCTTTACTTTCCTGCTTCAATTTACTCTCCACGTCCAGTAGCCATTTCGACACAGCTTCTTTCTCGATGGTGGAGAACTCGGGAAGGCAGGCAGATACCATCTCGCACAGTCCATCCACGTCCAAGTCCTCCTCCAATGCACTCTCTTCCACCATACTCACTACATAACTGAGCACAATGTCGTCTATTAAGCTGAAACAAGATCGTCTGGATATGAAAAATCATCAAAAGCATCTCTATTAATTTGTTAATTTTTCCCAAATAAAAATCTAAATAATCCAAAAGTTCTTGGGAGATACCTCAATTGAGCAGTGGGCACCTGCTTCCTAACGAAACTAAATAAGGCCTTCTTCACCAATTCCTCCTTCTCATCCCTCGTACGACTCATCCTGCAACGCGTCGAACCTGGTTAATCCTCGGAAACGCTAGGAAATTCAGCGAGAATCGAGAAGCCCCCCCGAGTCGCCGATGCCGCGCTCAGTGTTTTCATAAGACCGATCGCGCGAGCACGACTATCGTCACGAGACACTCCGAAGACTCAGAAGCACGCGCGTCTCGTCGTAACAGCTCGAGAGACGTTCTCTACGCGTACGTACACACGACGACAACGTTCAGTCATTGATCCTTCGGTATATAGGTTAAGGGAAACAAGAGGGCAGCAGGTCTCTAAGTTCGCGGCCCTTGCGCGAGGTCGTGTGTGACGTCTTCCCGAGACAAAGAAGGGAAAAAGTCTGGAGAAAAGAAGTGAGCGAACACGATCTGGGATGCGGCTAAGAGTCGCGCACCCGGCCCCTGCAGCACCGGACAAATCCGAGGACCGTGAGAGTTGCACTGACCCCCGTGAATCAACAGAACGACGATCATCGGCGACGCGGAGGCCACACAACACCGGTTGTCGACTCCCGCAAGCGGGAGAATCGCACGGCGAAAACGACCTTACGTTCTTACGAACCTGAACACTAAAGGCTGCCTGTCGATCGGGTTTCTTGGGTACGGGCGAGCGACGCTAAACCCTCCCCCCCGGAGATGAGTTTCAGTATACAAACAACGCTCGTCGATTTGACAGCTCAACGAGGAGAGGGGCGCCCGGGTGGCGCCGTCTAACGTGTCATCTGTGAACCGAATTCACCGCTGTTCCTCGTAGCTGAACCACGTACTTTTACGTTATAAAAGAGGTATGTACGAGAGAAAATCATAAATCCTTTTTAAAATGACCTGCATTTCTCAAATCCTGTTAGTATGAAAGAATTTCTCTCAATGCTTTTTTACATCTTGACCTCGTAATCACAATTTAGCAAGAAAGAAAAGTTTTTTTCCTCGAGTCTTGAATCCTTTTTCAACACTCCTGTCTGTCTACGAGATGCTCGAAGATGCTGAGAAGAATGTATAACAATAATGAAACAATTTAGTCGTCAAATTCAAGATTCGACGCTGTATTCTCTTCATTATTTTATTTTACAGCTCGATTATCAAAGACATCACATTCACACTTATCAATGCATTAATAAATAGCGAAAGCTTATGCTTGAACTTAGATTTTAACTCGTGTAAGAGACTCGCAGACAATCGTATTTCGTGAAGAGGCGTAAAGCTACATCGTCGACACGCGATGGATCTTTTCGTACATTTCACAATTGTTGGTTGTAATAATTGTTTATTTGCGAGACGTATCTTCACACATTACAATTTACACCTATAATCCAATCACGTATGGTTTTACAACGAGATTTACCGTCCGGCGACTCGTTCGTGATACATGTTTAATATATAAATAATTATCACTTAATGCATAATCTGCAATAAAACGGTACGACGCGCTCGATTTTTTTTTTCTAAACGAAATAAGTTACAGCACAACTCTAAATCTAAAATTCGAAATTTTTGTATAACGTAAGATTCTTCACATCCACTCACATGACAACTGAATACGCACTTCGAAATATAACACCAAACAGTATCATTAACTCTTAAATGCTTCGTGTTTAGACGTCGGAGACGGTCTCGTCTAGAGAAGAAGTTAAAATATATAAAACATATTTAAATAAATATATATATATGCTGTAACATAAAAATATATACTGGACTAGCGGAAATATCCTTTACGTATTGTGCCTTCCTGCGAAAGTTTCTTTCTTTAAATGCTGAAACATTGATCTTTCATTAAAAATTTGATCGGGGCGACGGGACTAAATAAAAGAGCAAGCCTTCCCAAGTATTCTTAATAGATAGATTCCAAAAATAACAATCTCTTATGTTTCGACAATTAAATGTTTTTCTCGGTATGTTATATTCTAGTACACCCGTTTTCTCTTTTTGTCGCCACAAGAACGCGCCTCTTTGCTCGAGAGAAATGAAAATCGCGGATATCCTTACACTAGTTTCCATCGAAAACTTTATAACGTGAGCCAATTCGTTACGTAAAGATATTCTTACATCTTATTACTATGTCGCCTTCTTCTCCTTCGAGGACTGTATTTCGCTTTGCGCGGCTCCCGACTCGTCGTCTTCCCCGACGTCGACGGAAGTGTAGTCGGGAGATTCTTTCTTAGTGCTATCTTTATTACAACTTGATTCCGGTTCCTCGACGATCTCCTGTTGCTGCTCTAAAAAGTCGGTAGGTACAAATTCCATTTGGTCTTCGTTATCGTTTAAATCCGGCGGGGCTGGCAGTTCGCAAAAATGTAGTCTCTCGTCGGCGTCGTTGACTTCCTCGCCGCCCGGGTCGTCCTCCTCGTGTAGATTCATCAGCTTCTCGAAATCCGAGGTAGGCGTAACGTCTTCGTTATTCTCCGAGAATATTTCCGTCGGGCTAAGAGGTATATCTAGGGGTTCCATCTTCACGGTTGCGCACGGCGACGTTGGTGTGGCGGGTCGTTGTAGACGTATCTTGGTGAAGGGCCTCGGTTCTATGGGTTCGGACTGCTGTCGCTTTTGGGCGCGTTTAGGACTAGAAGGTGTCGACATTCTCGCGGATGATGCATTGTTCTCTTTGGATTCCAGAAGACTTCTAGGAACTACTAGTTGAGATGCTAATGACTTGGACTGAGGTATAAGCAGTGGCGTCGGCCTCGCGTTCTGTCGGCAAAGTGTCAATTTGGAGAGCTTGTTTTTGAAAATATTCAACATTTTTAATAAGAAATCTTGCTTTGCAGGGGTCGCAGGGGGCTTACCTGAGACGAGGGACTTGGACCCGCCAGTCCCTTCACTTGCAACGCCTCGGCGGCGTTCAGCAGTTGCGGCAGTTTGTCATGGGCGACATTGACTTCTCCGCGGTACATGAATTTCACCAACGCCTCCACTTCCCAGAATTTGAGATCCTTCATTAGGATGATGGGATGCTGACACGGATTCTCCCGTAACAGATCCGCCAAGTAGTCGCTGCAGGAAGACAGGATCATCTTGTGACACTTGAGCGATCGTCCCTCGCATGCCAGAGTCACATCGACGAACTGTTCCGTGTCCAGCAACGACGGGAAGCTATTTTGCATATTACTATGGTAACTGTTCCACCTCAGGCAAACCTGAAAGGATAAAAGTATACACTGCATTTCTTTTTCTTCAGAGGAACAAAATTTGCGCGCAATTTACGTACTTCTGTAGGTTGCTGTTGCGCTACATTGCGCGGTACTCCCTGATTAGCTTGTCGCGGCGGCATTTTGATAGTTGTAGGCGCAACTTGCTTCACCTTCAACGGAATGGTCTTTAACACGAGAGTTTTTGGCTGTCGTGGTTGCTGCTGTTGTTGCTGCTGCTGTTGTTGAGACAAGGGCGCCGATGCAATGTTACGAATGTGCGGCCTCACTAAGGACTGCGTGGCTATTCTTATAGTTTTTGCACTTGCGTTATTTTGAGATGTCGACTGTAAAACTAACGGAAAAAAAAACAAGTGTTATAAATAATCTTAGAAATGCCGAAGGAATTAGTAAATTCGCAGTCGGGATTTTTACCGTGATATCGTCTGCCGACCAGCCGGCCGCCGTGATGCACTCGGAGATGCCGATGCAAGTTTGTCGTGCCGCATTGGCGCGGGTTTGCACCACCCCTGACAACGACCGCGCCGCAAATACGGCACTGAGCGCGAAGCGGATCGTTAACGCACAGGTCGAAGTGCGCCCAGACCGCGCTCGGGTTTGCCATGGCGCGCAGGCTGCGCGCGTGCGAGCGCACCCGGTGCGTGACATTAGAGTGCCGGCCGGACGACGATGATGAAGCCGACGGTAAGGACGATGGCAGCAGCGATGGCAGCGGCGGCGACGACGACGCCGTGCCCGACTCGTCGAGATAGCAATCTTCCTCGTCTTCCGGCTCCTGCTTCATCGCGAGGTTTTCTCTCCTAATGCCGTCCGTGGAGGTCGTCGCCGTCGTCACGATTTTACCCCGCCTTTCCCCGCGACGCGAGCCGATGATCGGTATAGCTGGATGCGTGTCTCGCCTTTCTGCGGAAAGAGAATGTCGCTCTAAAATGCGTGATCCAAAATCACATTTCATTAATCGCTGTATTCATTATTGATTTGTTTTTAGCAATTAAGCGGATTGCTGAATATTTCTTGTATACTTTTTGCGCTTTCGCAGCTGGAAAACGTCGCATTTTTATCAGCCGTTACGTGATTACTACTTTGCAACCTATACTTTATCGCTTGAACAGCGATTATTGTCGCCGCGCTTTTTATAGGAACGCGCTTTTCTGCTTCGCGTAGCGCTAAGCGAGCCATTACATATTATTTTCATCGATAATGAAATTTCTTTAAAAATTGCATGTGCCCGAAAATTGAAGCGATATTGCTCTGCTACTTTTAGAAGCGTGAATATATGTAAAGAACTCTCCTCTCCGGGAGGAGGCATAATATCTGTAAATCTGCAATATTTATCTAAATTCGTCAAACATAAAATAAAGAATCATATTCTTTTCAACGACGAAACGCCAAGACAGTGACTTGAGAATTAAAATAGCAAATTACATAAAAATAAGAAAATTTTAAATTGTAAAAAAATAAACTGTACAAGGTTCGCGTGCTACATCACTGGTTTACTCGATCGCACGCGCAATCTCTCTCGCTCGCTCTCTCTCCGCAACGCAATCTATCTCTTTCTTATTCCCGTGTTTGCGTGGTGGACGATTTGGCAGGTGCGCCGGATACGATTTCTCATTCGCACGTTGCTCATGAATTACGTTGGCAATTTCTGCCCCGTGCGGACCCTCGCCTCGTTCCTCGTCCTTGCCCTTCACCCGTTCGCCGATTCCCTCTCTCCGCGCGCGCCTCTCCGCGCACCGGTTCCTCCATCCCTGCGTCACCCACGGTGTTTTGCCGTTCGCAACAAGAGGATGCAACGACGGCCGCCTTCGAAGCTATAAAACGGCGGTGGTGACGGACGCGCGCGACACACTGAGCGACGCCAGCTGCGGAAGCGGTTCTATCCGATTCACAGACACGCGAATTGTCGCGATTCCTGTGAGAAGCGCGACGCGTTTTACCGACCTTTCGAAATCGCGGACGGAAGCGATCCTCGATATCGGGTTACACGGCGCACTACTTGCCGCCAATCGATTTCCTCTCTTTCTTTCTCTGTCTCTCTCTCTCTCTCTCTCGCTCTTACTCCCGTCGCAGGAAAAACGGCGTCACGTCGCGCGGCGCGTGTCTCTTACCTCTCGAATATCTCCCGTTTACTCGCCGAGATAATCGTGACGCACGACGCACGATCGGTTCGGTTTCCCGCGATTCCACGGCGACGGCGGATGGGAAGCTCGCGATATCGTTCCGATACGTATCTCCTCTCGCGGACGCGCCTCTACCCTCTCCCTCTTCTCACGGCGTGTTTCTCTCTCGTACGTTATATCTGGGTGACAATCACAAGACCGAGGATCGTCGCCGAGAGGCCACCCTTCTCCTATCTCTCTCTCTTAATTCTCCAGAATGACGGAATCGCGAGTCGCTAAGCCGAGATCGTTAATGAACGCCGTCGTTTCATTGAACGACAAGATCTGGGTGGTGGCCCGTGCGCCGGGCTGTACGCGCGTTACGCGATGGGACCGGGACGATTTTCTCCGAAGCCGAACCCGGGAGTGACTAAAATCGAAATCGGTGAACGAACGAAGGGGCGCGTCAGGGCGCGCATGTGCGACGGCGTCGCCGGTCGTCGACGCATCTATTATCCGTCGTCCGTGCGACGGCCGACGGCCGTCGTTGCGTCGCATCGCGTCGCGTCGCTATCGCGCGCGTGCGTCCAGCTGTTTTCTCCTTCCCCTTTTGCGCTCGTTGTGTCCGAGAACCATGAGATTACTAACCGACCTGACGATATCGACTCGGCGACCACCGTCGCCGCGGACACGCGCCAATTCCGATCGATCGAGGGTGCCTTCCAACGGAACACGAGTCGACTTCTGGGGCGGTTTTTCCACTCTCCGATCTTATATATTCAAAATTCTTTTAACATGCCGCATAAATTCGCAGCCGCGAATCAAAGAGCAGAGATTTTCTTTCATTCGGCAATTATAAATGTGCGTAGCAATGCTGAGAATAATCTGAGAAGAGACTGAATTTATAAAAAAAACCGTCTCAAAAGTCGACCCGTGTTCAGACACAAGTTGCTGCAAATCAACGTGTTATGCGATTTATTTTTGGAATAAAAAGAGACTCCTCCACAACGCATCGCTCATGGTCTTCAATAAATAGTGGCGCAAATAAATTCTATCGATTTTACCAGCCCTTTTTACGTCGACTTCGATGCGCATTGACAAAACATGATGGCTCGAAACAAGAATCCGTCTGTGTGCCAATATCGATAAAACTTCGTCTGGAAATGTAGGTAGGACATCACAGGAGGAAAGTAGTGAGACGATCGTTTGTAATTATTCATCATTTTTAATGTAATCTGTATAATAGCATAGTATAATATTAATTAAATTAATTATATATTAAATATTGTTTTTTTTTTTGTATGCACTGCGAACCGAGCAACAATACAGACGAGACTAGCAGATGGTGACCTTCGTAGCACTACCCCTCTTTTTTTTATTCTTAGCGCAAAATTAGAATTATTTGTCGTTTCCTTATGCTGTTAGTTAACGCAACTATTTCTGTGTTTACATTTACGCTTATCTATTTCGAATGTTATCTCTCATTCCCAAAGCCTGACAATATTTCGTTACGATTTTACGTAAAGGGGAAGACCGCTCCGATTTGAACAATAAATTATTTTCACGCGAAAAAATATGAAAAAGTCGAATAAATAATATAGAATTGTACGAAGCGTAATGCGTCATCATCATCTCAAAGGCACAGGCAACGATAACGAATGGAACATTAGCTGAAAAGTGCAATTATCAAGCATGAGCGTGTACTCGCTTGTTAGTGATTTACCAGCAGAGATATAATAAAAGCGCGCTTTCGAAATATATAATGTACAACTTTTAAGATATGTTGGGATAAAACGCGCGTGAAACTGACATGAGTGAATTAAAATATATTTCGATCAATTACAATAGATTTATATGTTTATATATATTTGTATAGGAAATTTTTGTAATAATTCTAATTTGGATTTTGATTTTTGCATTCTTATCTCCGATCGATCGGATAAGATAGCGTAATAAGTTGCCAATGCCTTCAAAATTCATCGCACATCGATTCTGTGACGATAATACATGTAAGATACATAGAGATATTTTATTAAGACTAATGTAGCGCAGCTTCTTTTCAAAACGAGTTTGCACGTGTTGAGCTCTCGTTGTTCCGGACAAGACACGTTTATCGCTCAGATTTTGGCGTATCAGTGGCAGTTCTCGAGAAAAACGCCATGTTCTTGTGTGTCACACTTGTTCTAGTGAACGTCTCCTATCACGGTTTCTACATGATCGAGTTTCTTGCACGCGTTGTTTCTAAATCGAATTTTTTCACCTCTGTACGCACAATCTGACGAATATTCGTGCGGTTTTATAGCAAAATATCTATCTAGGTATCTTACATCACAGAGTAAAAGGAAAAAGAATGTCAGATACCGACAATATAAGGGCACGACGGATTCTCGATGCATCATATCGCGAGAATAGTAGCTGCTTAGGCAAGTGTTTTTGCCATGCTGACTAATGAACGATGATGACCGAGCTTGCTTCAACAACGATCAGTATGCAAAGTATCGATGTACAATGATTGCTTTTCAGCAAAAAATTCAAGTCGACTTCCGAAATGGTTTTCATAGTCCGATCTTGTATTTGAAATGATCTTCAATAACTTTATCGATTCTAAAGCGGTATGTATATTTATAATTATCAGATTTAAAAAACTGCTAATTGCACGATTAAGAATTGATTCAGCACCTTAATAAATTTTAATAAGATCTGCGCAAACCGTCCCAGAATTCCATTTGTGTTGACTTGTGTTCTTTGTCGGAAAGCACCTTGATGCCTAACGAAATAATCGTGGCGTTTACTTTTTATTCTAGCATAATGGAACACGCAACAAAATGACGACCACATCACCATAGAACTCTGACTCGACGGCGATCGTTATCACGGCGGTCAACACGGTTCACACACGGGACAACAAGGGATAACATCAATAATGCAATAATAGTCATCATTGTAATATATGCAAAGTTTAGAGCGTACCTTTGCGGGATTCTTGTCCAATACCGAATCGACAACCAACACTCTTTTCAGACATTTGTAAACGGCGCTATTACTCGTCAACAATTAGCAACATCGAAAAGGCCAATCGATGGGTGTTAAAGTAGCGCTTTATCGTCGAGGAGGCTGAGCAACGAGGTCGCAGAACAAATCGCACCTTTAAATAACGCTCCGTGGATAGCGGCCGCTTCGTGTTACGCTGATCGCGATCATCGACCGGGCCTGTTCTGAGCCGTCAAACAATCAAGCGGCATATACGAAGTACGGTAGACAACAGCGAGAAAAAGGCTCCTCGCATTGCGGGATTGCGTAACAGCAGGACTCGTAATATTATTATCAGCATTCCGAATTGCACGGCCTTGTGAAGCCAATATAATCTGTAAAAACAAGGAAATAAAACTGGATTAGATTCTGAAAAATAATATAATTTTTTTTTCTAAAAGATGTAGACTGATGAATAGATATTTTAAAATTATATAAGGATAGAAGCAGAAAGAGCTATTTCTATTATAAAAACATTTATAAATTAGCATGAAACGATATTTTAATTTATCAGCGCGTGCGTTCTCACATGTATTTTATTTATTCGACACTGAAGATAGCCTCTGATGACAGGTCTATTTATATGAATGTTTTTATAATAGAATACAAAAGTTCATTCGCACTAAACTCTCGTGGTTGGCTCTGCTCCTATCCTTATATAATTTTATTATTCGTCGAGCTTTATCATTTTTAATTTTAACTTATATTTTAAGTTTCTACAAAGCAAATGCATTTATAGCAAAGTAATTTAAAGGTAAGTTAACACAATCGTTTAAAATAATTGTTTGCAATTGAAAAACCTTTTTCTAACATTTATTCAAATTTCAGGTACACACTGTAAGAGAGAGAAAGAGAATTCTACAAACACATTGCGCCACAATCGAAGCATTGCTGAAATAAGAAGGGATGCGTCTTACTTTGTAATGTGTGAACGAGCAGCTGGCAGTGTATCCGGACTCTCCTTCAAGATGAACTGTCGTATTCCCAGAATGTAATGCTCCAAGTATGACGGCCAGTCGATTTGCCTAACATCGAACATAAATGTTTCCCGATCCTCCGGACTGAGTTGCTCACCCAGTCGTCGTACGTTGTCGTCTCTGAAATTCCACTGTTTCGTGCTGAAATATTCCAAGCACTTGCTAGCTTTGGAGAGTTTGGCCTGCACGCGGACCATTATAGGCCGCGAGCCCTTGAGCCGAGCGATGATGTCTAGAATATACGCGGGTAGCGTATGCTGCAACATCACGCACAAATTGTTCAGCATGACGGAGCTGTGTATATTCCCGTCCGGATACCAGAGCGTGTCGTTCGCCGGATGTACCCGAGAGTATTTGAATGACAACTCGACGAACTGCTTCCAGGTGATGGGATTCTGCTGGCCGGTGCAACAGTTGTAAATCGAAATGGTGTCGGTGCGCTGCGTGGCGGTCTTCCATGCCGCGCAAATCATTAGATTGATAACTATGTCGACGGGAACCAAGTCCGCCACCTTATTCTCGTGACACAACATAGTCCTGCATGCAAAGATTGCGGCAACTTTTAGACGCCGATTTATACACGCAGAGAGATTATGACTAAAAATATGCAATAACCGGACCGGATTTCTTTTTAATTCTACTTCGATCATTGCGACAACTCTATACGGATATTTAGTAGATACCAAAAATTTTTAGATTTGTAATTGAATTAATTTTAAAATTGACATTTTAATAATCGAATTCACATATTTCGAAATTCTAAACACGCGCGGGGGGTGTTATAATTATAACATTATCGTACCTGAAGAAGCCTTTCCCGGCGGCGGCAATAATTCCGGTAGGCCCGTTGCAATTATCTAGCCAACCGGCCACCGGTTCTCTGTACGATGACAATACGATTGATGGCCTGACAATCGCCACCGGTAAAGCGCCTCTCTCTCGCTGGAGCATTCGTTCGGCCAATGCTTTGGTAAACGTGTATGTATTTGGTCGACCGGCGATAAAACTTGGCGTTAATTCCTCGACCATCTTGTCGTCCATCCATTTTGTCAAAGCGATCACCTGCTCGGGTTCCTTGCTTACTGGATAGATCTCCTCGGCCACGTCGTTCCGATCACAATTGCAGTACGCAGTAGAGACGTGGATGAGTGCCTGCGATCGAAAGCTTGCATTTACTAAAATTGCAAAAAGTACGAATTGCTGTTGCAAATGTCCGAGTTTCATCTCCGTGTGTCCATCCAATATGTGCTTTTAACAACAATTATGTGTAAAGATGCGTGTAGACACGAGATGAGAAATTACAATTTTGTTCTTATTTAACGAATACACATTTCAAAATAAAGTTTACTTTTTAGTGTATTTATAATTCATAAATATAATTCTTTAAGTTGAATAGAAAAAGGAGAAAATATTTTATATAAATATATTACGTTCAATTGTGTGTACAAAACTGACTGACGGAATTTATCAAATTAATATCATTTCCTGATGATCAACGACGTGCAACGCTGTCAATGTTAAGTTCAATAGATTTTATTCACTACATAAAATAAAAAAAAATAAAAAATAAAAAAAAATTTAAAGACCAAGATTTACAAAGTTAGACGCAAATTTTTCAGCTTTATTTTAACATATGTATACATTAAATACACTAAATTAAGAATAAAATGGTTATTTGCCTTGTTTTTGAAGTACGTTTTTGAAGTTGCGTCGTGTATTACGTGTTAATCGTTTTTCATTCGCACTAATCTGTGATTTATTTATAAAAGTTAATAGTGTGTAAAAAAAAAAAAAATAGGATTGTCGAACAGACATTTGGTGAGTAGCGGTATCGCGCGATGTAATAAAAAAAAGTGCAAAGTACAAACACATTCGGATACATAAGTCGGCTTTATTTACCTTTTGAAATTTGTAGACACGAATCGAAATGTATTTTCTCTATTAAGCAGAAAGTTGAACAGACTTAGCTGTTGAATAATTAAACGAAGCGAAGTTCGAAAGAATTTACGCCTGGACGGCGTGTTTTTCAACGGAGTAGGGTTGTAACCTTTCGTGGAAAAAAGACGCTGTAATCTTTCGTAAGTAGAGTATATACGTAAAAAATCATACGGACAACGCATGTCTGTAATTAGTGAATTTCGATTTGCAGCGATCTCGGCAAACCACCGATCTACCGCTCGGCACGGCGATTAAGTAATAAGCTCGATTGAAGCGCGGAAGAGCGAAATGTTTCTTCCTTACCTCTACGTTGCGCATACGGTGGCACAATTGAATCAATCTCTTGGTGCCCAACATATTTATGGTGACCGACAGCTTCAGGGCTTCGTCGAATTTTACCGTCGCTGCCGAATGGAACACGACCGACACGGATCGTATTAACATATCTTGGTCGGCCGCCGAGATGCCCAGTTCCGGTTCCGTGATGTCGCCAGCCACCGGTATGATCTTGGAGAGCTCGGCAGGAGAATCTCGCCGCAACTTCTCGAACAGCTGTCAAAAGTGATAGAATTTCACTTTCCTTTTTCGAAAGTTTCGCAATTTCTTTACAATATTTAATTTCTAGTGCAATTTTTAAGCGATGCAAAGAGAAGGAGAGATCATTACCGGCGCGTTCAACAGTTCCTGCAACCTTTGTTGCACATCCTGGCTCTTTTTAGGTCTCATCAAGAGGTAGATATTCTTGATATCCGGACACGATCTCAGCAGCTTCTCAACGAGCACTTTACCCATGAAACCCGTGCCTCCGGTTATAAAAATCGATCTGTCTTTGTAGAAATCCCTCACGGATGTGTACTCACCACCAGCCATCGTGGCCATATCAACGATCTATTTATGGACACGTCCTACAAAAGGTATTAATTACTAGATGTTATTATTAGATGTTACATCGTGTTTTCTCTGTCTGCTTATTGATCATTCAGGCGAGTATCTTACCTATATTATTTTGCCAAGTTCCTCGATAAATTTCAGGATCGGAATCTTTTGCGTTTCTGTTTCCGTTCCTGCATTGCATACCCAAAATTATGAAATATACCGACGCATGTACGACGCGTATCTTAAATACCAACAAATTTTTAATCTACGCTCGTTAAGCAAACATTGCATCATTACCTGTTCTACTTGTCCTGCGCCCAGTTTTCTTTCGTTGGTTACTCCAATATCCGGCTTCAACGGGAGATAGCGGAGTGGTGGATTTTTTCAAAGGCGAGAATACGGCATCTGCGAACGGCACGATATTCTCTTTTGACATGTGTTTACGTCGTATTGTGATCTTTCGTGCGGCTTGCGTCCAACATCCGTCGCTCCGTCATTCATTTCGCGTCCTTTATAGACTTATCTCTGCAAGACAAATACACGAAAGATTTCATTAAAATTTCGTCAATCGACACATTTGCTGCCGCGCTAGATTTGCAAGATTTCCATCCGACTGGACTGCGTCTTCCATTGTTTGCACAAAGAGAATGCGCAAAGAGAATCGGTTAAACATCGAAATCCGACGCTGTTTATATGATAAATCACGAAAGAAAGTAACTTGAATTATACGAACGTAAATTTTTGTCTGTCCGGATACAGTCGGCTGTACAAGCGGTTGTAACAGGAGAGAGAACAGATAGGAGATCGATATCGTTCGTCACGAAAGGGCGTAAGCGCGCCTTGCCGACCGATTTACGGGAGCGGTGCGGTCTAGCGTATCGTAAGGGAGTTACGAGGGTATTCGGCTTTGTTGGTCGAAGTACAGGAACGGAAGGAGGCTCACGTGGACGGGATCGCGGATCGACTTTGAGAGAAGCTCCGACGGGACGACGTGTATTTGTCGCTCGTGACGAAAGATTCATTGCTACGATATTCATTATCTCGTCCCGCGCGTAATGTTGAGGTAACGCGATCTTATCTTATGGTGTAGCGTTGCTAAGCGTATCGGTTGATATCGTATCCAACCGTGTTGTCTCTCCTTTCCGCGTGACACGCATAACATGTCAAGAGAGAAAGAGAGAAGGGTGTAAAATTCGTTTTGGGATTTTCGCGAAAACTGCAGAAACAGTCGCCGCATTAACGATCACGGTGGAACAATTCCGAAGGATTATAATGGAAAAAAAAATGATGCACTTTTAATCCTTGATTTTCTTCGCAGTCGACGTCGTTGCTACGTGCGGATAATTACCGGCGATTTGCTAGCGTGTTACCGGTGTGCGGGTTCACAATGCGACATTTACGTAACCGTAGGAGTTCAAATGCTGTTGTAACACCGTAAAGGTAACCGTGATTTCAAGAAAGAGATCTAAAAAAAAGTTTCACTAACAAAACTGATTTTATTAATGAATCCATACATTTACATGACTAATGCACGTGCAAAACTACACATTATCCTCGATTGAATTATTCATTAAGTGAATTAAAATGAATAAATTTTTTTTAAATTTAATTTCTTAATTTCAGTGTTTATTTTGTGTTTTTATTGCTTATAAAAAGAGTAATATTTAACGAACAGTGTGATTCGAACTATTTAAAATATAATCCATATTATTTATAAATTTATAATTTTTTTTTACTTTTTCTTTAAAGAAGAAGAGTGTTTCGTAACGTATTATTTTTTACATTTATGATGCACTTTGTTTATCAACTTTATATTCCTGTTATCTAGAACTACTTTTTTGTGGATCTTTCAATATAGAGTTTTGTTTGTAATAAAAATATTCAAAGGTCGTCCAGCTTTATTGCTTGGAACTATTTTTTATCTGTGAATTCTTTAATTTAGTCTCGAAGGACTCTAAATTACGAACGATTGAAATAGAAAGATTTTTCAGAATTTGAGTTTAAAAATGCAAAATCGAGTTGCAAAATCTTATTCACTGTTTAATTTCAAATACACCTTCTTTGACAACTCTATGACTTGAGCATAAGATAGAAAAATATTTGAATATGAAGAAATATGACTAAGTACTTGTTAAATGATGATATCACGTAACATTTTTACAACCGTACAGAAATCGATTTCGAATTATTCATAGTCAAAAAATTCACAAGTGAAAGGTAGCTCGCTAAATTTAAAACATCTCACATATGAAAAAAGTGTACTATTACCAAGTAAATTTTTTGTATTAATTTGATTTCAGACTGTCGATTTGACGAGAAAGTGAAATCCCGACGTTTCTCTCTGTAACGGCATTTTATGCCATCACCAGTCCGGAATTCAATTCCGAAAGATGAATTACGTACATTGACATCGTTATGCTATTATTAAAACGATCTGTATTATTAAACAAGATTCTTATGTAACCAAAGCTAATAAAAAAAATCTTTTTTGCTGTGTCGTGTGGACATAATTGCTTATGTTAAGAAAAAAATCGTCCGTCGCGTGAACTGCCTTGACTAATAACACTCCGATATGTGGTCCTATCAATTTTATTAGCTGCAACGATAAGTGCACTAATCATAAAATTTTAGAGCAATATCCGGTTAATTAGTGCAATTTCAGTTTCACGCTAAAAATTGTACATATTTCACTTTTTCTTATCTTTTCTTCGATTGCACATTCGCCATTTCAATTTTAAATTTCGACAGCGCGTTGCGCAAAAGAATACAAAGAACACCAAGAAATTAAGGATAAACGCGTATGCAAATTGAGAGTGATATGTAAATAATAAAAAAACAACAAGAACAACTGTATATGTAATAAATCTACAGTTATAAATATTCAGCAAAATGCATTCCTTGCAAATTAAAATCTTGCTTTAGGAATATAAATTGCATAAGAGCGAACAATTAATTTTAGTTTACGATCTATGATTTGACATTTTCGTTTCTGCAGAATTATTTTTTAAAAAGACATGTCTTAGATGACTCTGAAAGTGAGTTATAGACAGTTCAAAGCAGACATAAACGCAAAAATCTATTCGATTTACTTTCAAAATATTCAAATATGTTTATAGTAAAGTTTCGACGCTTAGATGCTGTAGACCCGAAGAGTGTTTTCGCAAGTTAAATTATGATATTACGCTTGGTAGAATTTATACCGGGGATTGCCCAACTAATAAGTTTCGATATCTTATCTTTTCATGGATTGAACATTCGTTATTACAATTTTCAATAAATTTCGACAGCGCGTTGAGCAAAAGAGAGTAGAGACAAACAAGAGATTGAAGACAAACTGCGTGCAAATTGAGAGTAATATATTAATAATTAAAAAAAAAAACAGCGTGAGCAACATGTGCATAAACAATCATTTCTGCACATTCCCGAATCTCTTATGAAATATTTAAACGCACGTTGTGACGATTATTCGGAGAGCATTTTAATTCCATCCCCTCGGTACGTCTGAGATGATGTACTCGCGTAGGATGGAAGCGAACGAGCGACGGAATTCTAGGTCACTGTCCTAACGCCAAAGCGAAGCGACCGGGAGAGAAAGAGATCGGTGGACTGTCCGTTACATTAAAACCCGTTATGCGTATACACGCGCGCAAGTACGACGAGCGGAAGTACGACGAGCGCAAGTACGACGAGCGCAAGTGCGATCACGACCACGGTCACGATTACAGCCGCGACCGCGAAATCAATCGACCGTCTGTCTCGCCCCTCATTTCCCTTTTTTTCGGCCATCACTCTCTTTCTCTCTCTCTTGTCCTTCCCCTGACAGCCCTGATAGCTCTGATAGCGACGAATTATCGTCGATCGCGTTACGCACAATTTCTCGGACCCCGATTATGAAATTTACGAACGTTTGCGAAACGCCAAAGCGGGACGACGCGTAAACGAGACTTTCTAACATCGAGACATGATATTATCATTGACAGTTACAATGCGGCGAGAAACTATGGCTTCCGCGGACGTCGGAGAAAATGCATTATAGATTCCTCGCCAGCGTCTCGTGCGTGTCGATTGAAGAGACGAAAAATTGTCCCGGCATACTAACGAAGCGTTCAAAAAGTTATCGCGTTGACATTTACTTCACTCGCTTACCTTACGCTCGTCTTGATCACGGATTTACTACCGTTATCAATTCTAGAGAACATTTGCATTGCAACTTTAGCAAGTTGTGCAATTTCGCATAATATATTAATTGGCCTTCTATAAAATAGAGTTAAATTCTCCGCGACTTAAATTTATTGATAAAATTATAAAAATCCAAAATAACAAAAATTAATAATAATATTAAGGCGAGGCCAATAGATTAACAAATAATCTTGAGAGAAAAGGGCGTTATTTGTTTGCTAAACGCTTCGACACTTGTGATACCGTTTATTATTGTGAATTTTACTTGTAAGGACATTGAGGTAGGCCTAATATAGGCAGAAATCAAGTTTTTAATTAAAATAAATAAAAATAATTTAACTGTGCCATAAGAAACCTGTCATTACCTGTTTAAATATTAGTCATCAATTATTATTCGATTTATCGTGATTAATCGTAGGGTGGAATTTTACAAATATCGAATCCATTAATCAGTTACGATTTTCTACACGAATTAATCGCACTAATTAATCAGTTACATTTTCCTTCACGCACAAAAAGATGATATCAGAGATGTAAAAAGAGAAAAAGACAAAGGCTAAAGACTAAAATTAGACGTCGACTGTGCTCATTTATAAACTGAAAAATTGAAACGGGAAAACTAACAGGAAAACTTATTTTGATTACTGAGAAGCCGAAGAGCGATATATTGCTACTCATAGTCGAACGATTAAACACGGAGTTGCATTCCTTATTGCGTGTGCTATTTTTCACGAGACGCATCCGTACCGCGCGATAGTGCAACGTGGTTGCACGCGACAGCTCGTATTTAATAACGGCCAATAGCACGCCTTGTATCCGGTTGTGCATCGCGAGAAGTGTGTTAGGAGGACATTGACTTCCCAAACACATTCCACGCGCCCAAGCGTGGCCGAAGACGCGGTCGTAGGAAGAGACGGTCTGCCTTTATCTATTCGACGATGACAATCTCACAATTACGTGATCAAACGAAACGAATGCAAATAGTTTCGTTTTTTTGTTTTCTGCATCAACAAAATAAAATTTTTCAATCGTCTCTCATAACATAGTCAATTAAGTGCATATTAGACCCGATAATCTGTATTAATTAATAAATATTAATCATAAATTCTTTTTATACGCATAATTTCACGACATTGTATACATTTCATATTGTATATTTCTATTCAAATAACTATGACGCAAATGCAAATGATTTGTGTGAAATTATTTCAATTTAATTACTTAAAATATTTTTTTGTTTAAAACAAAATTATAATATCAAGGCTCTTGCGATAAATATAACATAAAGAAATAAAGAGCAAATGAGCCAATGTTTGTTGTCCGTACATATATTTTGAAATTTAAGC